CAAGCAGTCTTGTAATAAATAAAATGTCTCGCGGTCTCTAACAAGCAGTCTTGTCTCCCCGTGTCACCAACAACGGAGGAAAGGAACTGGTGAACTCCTCTGAGGACAAGTCTCCATTTGTGACCTTAACCTCTCTCGGAGCCACAGAACCCACGCACGCACGCACACACACACACACACACGAGCTCATAGAAAAAAAGGAGCTTCCCCCCCCCCCATCCCTTCCTCTCCCCCCCTCCCCCCCGGAAACCACTCGCCCAGAGCCAGAGAGACATATGTGGCAAATGACAATAACAGATGCGCGCTCTAAGGTGACTCCAGCATCTTTTAGCATAGAATTTCCGACGTTATAGCCTGCTCTCATTATTTATCGTGCATTGTTGATAAGACTTGATATGTGGCGATATGATTTGGTTTTCATGAATCATAATTCGTCATTTTTAATTACTATCTGATCATTATCTTTCTTTAAGATGAAAAAGATAGAAAAAAGGTATCATAAGTATGGAAATGAAATGAGTACGTCATCTCTATTAACAGAAAACGTGAGTCACGTTGTTACCGAAGTGTGGATTTCCTAAAGCAGCCAACAGGATATCCTAGCTTTCTCTCCCTCTCATTCTCCTCTCTCTCTCTCTCTCTCTATTATCCTCCCTCCCCTCTCTCTCTCCCTCTCCCTCTCCCCTTCTCCTTCTCTCTCTCCTCTCCCTCTCTCTCTCTCTCTCTCTCTCTCTCTCTCTCTCTCTCTCTCTCTCTCTCTCTCTCTCTCTCTCTCTCTCTCTCTCTCTCTCTCTCTCTCTCTCTCTCTCTCTCTCTCTCTCTCTCTCTCTCTCTCTCTCTCTCTCTCTCTCTCTCTCTCTCCTCTCCCTCTCCCTCTCTCTCCCTCTCCCTCCCTCTCTCTCTCTCTCCTCTCTCTCTCTCTCTCTTCTATCTATCTCTCTATCTCTCTCCCTCTCCCTCTCTCCTCTCCCTCTCCCTCTCCCTTCCCTCTCCCTCTCCCTCTCCCTCTCCCTCTCCCTCTCCCTCTCTCTATCAGTCTGTCTACTTAACCCTAGACACGCCATATTGAACCCAAATGACTCGAAGCACAAGATGAATTTTCGCAAAAAAATGGATGTGCCGCTGATAAAGGATAAGGCCATGTTGTCAAAGGTTATTTTTAAACAGTCTGTTATGAGACGCAATAGAGGGACGACGCATTTCAATTATCTGCCTCAATTTGTGGCTGCCAGGTGGGGAAAAGGCGCCCATTGACCCGACCCCAGCTGACCATAGCAGAGGTGAGTAAAGTATAGGAACGTTTGCTTATTGGGTCAAACTACCTCACATTTCCTGAGATGTTTTGTGTCTGGGATTTAATTACCCTGTCATTACCTGCGTCGTGGACTAATTATACCGCTCTAAGTGTCTTACAAAGTAAAAAAAAGATAGAATAGTCCTATCAGCCAAGCATCACAAGCCATACACTGAAAATGGGAACTATGAGGTTGTACGCTTCTACAACCCAATAAAAAAAAGGTGTAGATACATTTAACCAGCTGTGTAAGAACTAAGGTTGTAGCCGAGGGACTGAGCAGTGGCCACAAATGTATTTTCTGTGATATAAATTCATACAACCATCGCCCACACCATCCACACTGGCAACCACCTTACGAAACTCCTCCCGAAGAAGATCCATGCGAGAAAACGATGGCTCTTGATGCAACGACAACTCGACAGCAACTCTACACCGGACAGGAAAAGTTCCAGAACATCCAAAGTGTGTTTGGATGGTACAGGACTAATCCCACGCGCTCTGAGGTGTCCCAAGGAGAGGAAGAGGTGTTGTTCCATTCGCACACGGAAGGAGGATAAAATCACACTCTCAACATAGACTGCAGAGACTACCCCACTCCAGGAGTATCTGTCTAAATATGGTAAATATTATCATATTTGTTTTTTGTTTTGTTCCACGATGTTTTATTGCGTTTGTGAATATATTTTTTAAGTTATACAAATTTTGTATGAACCATGGAATGCAATATATACCTCTCAAAAATAATGGAAGATAACTTTTTTTATATCCACAGATTATACTATCCTGAAGACCCAAGTGTCTACGAATTATTTTCTAGGTACTTTTGTCCCTATACTGCCTGAGAATAAAGAAAAGAAAAGAAAAAACCAACACTCATTCACTATGAAAAAAGTGATCTTGAAGTAAATATAAGTTTGTGTGTGTGTGTGTGTGTGTGTGCGTGTGTGTGTGTGTGTGTGTGTGTGTGTGTGTGTGTGTGTGTGTGTGTGTGTGGTGTGTGTGGTGTGTGTGTGTGTGTGTGTGCGTGTGTGTGTGTGTGTGTGTGTGTGTGTGTGTGTGTGTGTGTGTGTGTGTAACTTTCAGTACATTCGACTGAGCTGCCTACCCTTAAGGTAAATGTATCATATCTTCTTTTTTTTCTGTGCAGTTTTTCCTTTTGCATATTCGCGCATATTCCGTGATGATAACAATAAGCTTGCAGGA